GAGCCCGAGGGCTGGGGCGGGGAAAATTTTTTTTTGCTTGGGGCGGCAAAAAACCTAGAGCCGGTCCTGGTTGGTATAGGGTGAAATTGAGACATATATCTCCTTACAGTTGGGGAGATTTTCAGCACTGGACAGCCCATCTGGAAGAATGAGAGAGGTAAAGGAATTGCTAATTATGGGAGGTATCTGCACTCTGAGAATACTATATGCAGAAATTCCCATGTGCCCTTCCCTTCTCATTTCCCCATTGCCCCCACTGTCTAGAGACCCCCAAGTTGCTGATTGGTAAGCATGCTTCCGTCACATTTCTTAAAAATATTATCTGAAGTCACACTGGATACTGGTCTTTACTACTTCACAGGCTTTGCTGTTCTGCTGTGATTCAGTGGAACCTAAGACTTGAGTCCGTGGGTTTAAAAAGTCTTGAATTTGATGAAGAAAATATTCATTTGATGAACCACAAATACATTGGAAGATAGTATTGTAGAACTTCAAGCACAGATAGATCATTTGAAGATCTTTACTGGTGTTACTGTAAAAGAAAAGGTGTGGGAAGACATTGTCACAGCATGTAACATTTATGAATGGGGATTATTATTATAATTTTATTATTTGCATTATAACTGAGATTGGGTCGATTGTGGTGGGTGCTATACACACAAAGTAAGGGACCATCTCTGTCCCAGAGAGCTTACAAGGGGAAGTGACCTGCTGTGTGACTTTGGACGGGGCAGGTTTCCTGAGCCCTGGTGTAGTGCCCTATCTACTGAACCATGCTGCATCCTTGATCATGTTTTGCGAGCTCAGCAAAAAATGTTGAGTTTTTGATTTCTGGAAAAGTATATTTTTGAATGAAAACCCAAAATATTTGTAAAAAAAACTTCCAAACTGAAGAAAAAGGCTTTGTGACCAACTCTGTCTGGTAAACATATGCAGTATTTCCAACCCCACGAGTTCAAAAAATCATGAATGAATGAGTTAAGGCACCCAAAATCATGATATATGTGTGTGTGTGTGTATATATGTGTGTGTGTATATATATATATATATATATGTATATATATATAATGTGTATATGTGTATATATATGGGTTCTTTCATTTGCGTTCTGGTATTTGAGCCATTGGGTTCACTTTATCCGGCTTTTCTTTTCAACTGGGGAGCTAGAAACTTGTTTATTAATGCAGGCTGAAATGCTCATATCGTCACTTGACTGCAGGATCAGGATTGAAGAGTAAGCCCTAATATTGCACATGTGCCTGGGATTGTACCAAATACTCCAGTAATTGTTAGTCATGGCAATAAGTGAGCATTCAGCTTGCGGGGTATTTCTGTGGTATTGATTTTTTCCCCCCTTTTGATTGCTCATGAACACTCAGTGCGCAGCTGTGCCGTTAAGACAGAGCCCTGAGTAGGACTTCATACAGCTTTATCTCCCAGTGGCTCTCCTGGAGTTCCAGGGAACTGAGCATGCTCTTAAGGATGGTGTAGCCTGCTCTCTTCTCTGTCCCCCCCAGCTCCCTGTCCCCCCCCTTTCTCATTCCCTTTGGGGTGGATTGTGCCCTGGGAGGTACTAGGATGTAGCAGTCCTTGTGCTGGCATAGCACAGGAATTGTGAATGTGGCTGACCTCTGAGCAAGAGTGCAGCTGGGAAAGCCTCCTTTGGCCTGTTTCAAAAGTGCTGCGCACCCAGCAGCTTCCGCAGAATTACAGATTTTTAAGGCTAGAAGGGACCACTATAATCTTGTATCCTGACCTCCTGCATAACATAGATCAGAGAACATCATGCAGTGAATCCTTTGGCAAGTCCATGACTTCTGTTTGAGCTGGAGTGGATCTTTTAGAATTGCAATTTTCAGAAGTTACCACATTCCATAAATACATATCAAGAGGATAGATTGAGCTTCCTAAATCTCTGACTTTGAAGCAGGTTTTCCAGAAGGGTGGATGCTAAACAATTAAAAAAATATTTTTTTTAAAGAAATCAGCAATTTTGGCTTTTATTAAAATAAATATCTTTTTAAAAATGAACATGTTTAAAATGAAATCTGAATTTATAATGAGTTTAGGCCTTAACATTTTGTATTAATCTTTTAAAACATTTAAATAAAAAGTAAATATGCTGAATCCATGAGCCCCATCAAACACTTTGAGTTAAAGGCTGTTCTTCTGTATAAAGAAAGATGTTTTCCCCCTGATTCTCACTTTTGAGGTCATGCTTTATAAATATGGGATAATAGGTCATTTACTGTGTTAGGGGCTTGGTCCTGTGCGGGACCCTTGGACCTTGAATTATTATTGTAGATGTTTTCTGGATCCCACACAATTTTCAACATTTTTTTTGACGTGTCTATATCAACTGGACACGCTATCCAGTAATAATCTTGCTATTGCTGTATACAGTGGTAATACCCCCTCCCTGCTTCTACTCAATATTCTTCTGCTTACACATCCAAAGATCATATTCTACCTCTTAGCCACAGCATTGGATTGGGAACTCATGTTCAATTGGTTACCTAGTATGACCCCTAAGCGCTCTTCAGAGTCTCTACTTTCTAGGATACAATCTCCCATCCCCTACATTATTTTTTCCTAGCTGTATGACCTTGCATTTGAGTATGCTAAAACACATGTTGTTTGGGTGAGATCACCTTTCTAAGTGATCCAGATTACTCTGTATAACTAACTGACCTGGTCTTATGATTCCATTCCACCAGCATTTGGGGCAACTGCAAAAAATCGTAATTACTTTTATATTTTCTTCCAAAGGGTGTCTAGAAAATTGATATGATAACTACATATTGAGTGAATCCTATTAGTAACAGCTCCCATGCCTTTATTAGCAAGGAAAGATGGTACAGCTCACAGAATTGCACGCTCTGAGGGAGCAGTGTGTCTCTCCAGTTAGCAAATGTCTTTTTAATCCATGCAAGTTTCCTCTTTCCCACAACAGGTTGAGCAGTTATTAACTGGGGTGGTGGTAGGAGGCCCCCAATGCAAGGTGAACCCTACTCTGGCTGGTGCAATAAAGGGTAGGGGTAGGGTGACCATATTTCCGAAAGGGAAAACAGGACACTGTGCGGGGCTGACCCAAGCTCCGCTCCCTGCGTGTGGGGCAGTCAGGACTCAGGCGAGCAGCGCCACATACCAGATAGGGTGACCATATTTCCCAAAGGCTGGGGCTGGTGTTGGTGCTTGCTCAAGCCCTGCCTGCCCCCTGCCCGAGTCTTGCCTCCCGCGCCCCCCCCCCATTTGGGGCTGGCTGTAGTTCTGGTTGCCCCATTTGAAAAAAGATGTATTAGAATTGGAAAAGAAACAGAGAAGGGATTAGGGATATTGAACAGTGTCCATATAAGGACAAATCAAAAATACTGGAATTTTTCAGGTTGGAAAAGATAACTAATGGGGGGAATGATAGAGGTCTATAAAATCATGACTGGGGTAGAGAAAGTAAATAAGGAAGTGTTATTTACCTCTTCACATAACACCAGAACCAGGGGTCACCCAATAAAATTAACAAGCTGCAGGTTTAAAACTAACAAAAAAAGGAAGTCCTCTGTCACCCAATGCATAGTCACCCCCTGGAACTCATTTTTCCAGGGGGTGTCATGAAGGGCAAAAGCTTTACTGGGTTCAAAAAAGACTTAGATAAATTGATGGAGGAGAGGTCCATCAATGGCTATTAGCCAAGATAGTCAGGGACACAACCCCATGCTCTGGGTGTCTTAAGCCTCTGACTGTCAGAAGCTGGAACTGGATGAAAGTGGATGGATCAGTCGATAACTGCCCTGTTCATTCCCTCTGAACTGTCTGGCACTGGCCACTGTCAGAAGACAGGATACTGGGCTAGCTGGACCACTGGTCTGACCCAGTATGGCCTTCCTTAAGTTATTTGTTCCTATGCTCTTATCGCATAGGATGTTTTATAGCCAGCGCCCAGAGTCTGCCCACCATTCGTCTCTGCTCCCTAGCTGGGTGCACACTGCAACAGGGCCAATGGGCAGTGGGTCAGATGCAGTGTTTCAACCACTCTGCTAGGCTGCTACTGTCTCCCAAGCTCAGCTCTGTGCACTGGGGAATTTGGTTAGGGGACTGGAATCAGCACCCTGCAAGAGCCTGAGTGAAGGGAGATGCCTCGCCACCATAACAGGTTCAGGGAAAGGACCCAGGAATTCTCTCATGCAGCAGGGAGCACCTTGTAAGGGAACTGGGGCTGCCATGCAGTGTAGGGCAAGGCTTTTCAATCCGTCTCGCAGCCTTTACAGCCCCACTCTCGACCCTCAGTCAGAGGAGCCTCGTTTGTGTTTTTTGCTGGAGGGCCTTGGCTTTGATCCGCTGCAGTTCTGCCATTTCAGACATTCCAGCACATTCATGACTGATCCTCCATTGGCCAGCATCGTGTGTGCCATCAGCACCAGTGCATAGAGCGTGTAAAACATGCCTGTTCTGAGTTAAGAGCATTTGACACACTCTTTGCTTTGGATGAAGAATAATACACAAGGGTTGGGGTAGGGGAGAATCTGTCCCGAGTCACTACTGACAGATAAGGAGGAACGGATCACAGAACTAAAAATTAATGGTATCATAGGCACAAGTGATCATGACGGTGCAAACAGAATGTCAAGGCCAGTAATCTATATACTTGGTGCTTTGACAGGGCCAATTTCACAAAGCTGAAAACAATGATGAGTAAGGCTAAGATTTTGGCACAGGTATTTTTAGTAAAAGTAACAGACAGAATGTGGGCAATAAACAATAAATCATGCAAGCTGGAGCCCCACCGCCCAGGGCTGAAGTTGTGGAGGTCACACAAAATCATGGAATGCGTGTTCTCCCTGAGCCAAATCAGCTGGGAAGAAGAATTTAATGAGAAAAAGGTGAATTATAATTTAAAAATACCTCACTAGATGCTCAAAAAACCACAATTCCATAATTGAGGAAGAAAGCTGTGCTGTTTAAAAAACCAACTTGGTTTAAAAAGGAATTGAGGGTAGTAGTAAAAAATGAAAAGATAATATATAACACATGGAAGAAGAGGGAAATTGATAGTAATGAATATAAATCAGAGACTAAGAATGGTAGAAAATTGATAAGGGAAGCCAAGGGATACAAGAGAACTCTATTGCCAGCAGAGTTAAGGACAAAAAGGAGTTTTTA